TTAAAAGGGTCAAGGTCAAGACCTGACCTTACCGCTGGCATTAATGCAAAACTCCCACACCATGCATCTAAAAATCTCTGATCCATATGGTGAGCTGATTATCAAATCATAATGTGCAAAGCGGTTATTATTTGAATGAGTGATTAGTAGTAAATAAAACTTAATTTAGCTTTCAAGGTATAAATTGCGCTTTGACTCGAGTGTCTTTGATAACCATTTACATAACTTATTTTCCATTTAAAAAAGGTAAAATTGTATTACACAGCTGCAGACCCTCTTCTCCTCATCAAACGACATGCATGTGCGTACAAAAGTGGTACAAAAACAACTGTCAATTGAAAACGACCAAAGCATGTTCATGTGTTACAATCATCCAGGCAACGACAATAATAATTTAAATCCACTTCACAATCTTGGACCTCCTTTGTTTTTGTCCTTTATATAAAATCTCAGTAAAATACATTCAGGTTCGTGGTTGTAAAGCAACAAAAAAAAAAAAAAAAAAAAAAAAAAAAGTTGGAGGTTTAAATACTTTTCAATTGCTCTGTATTATAGATGCACTGCCATTGTAATGCAAGGCCAATTTAAAGAATAAATCACAGGAATAAATCGGTTTACCTCGTCGGGGATGTCCTTGGTGTCGGGCTGGCCTTGTGCTGCTCGGCGGGCTATGGCCCCCGCTCGGATGTTGCTCAGATTGATCTGGCGCTCTGGGGGCGGACCACCTCGAGGCTGGCCCCGAACAATGATGGCACATCCCGACAAGACCTGGAGAGAAGACAACAAATGAAAAATATAAAGACGACAAATCAGCAGTGCAACTAAATTATTTTAGCTATAAAAAAACATATTTGAAACAAAAATACCAAGAATTATTGACAGACAGAAAGAAGAAAGACGCAAGTCGTGGATATTTTCATTTCCATTGGATTAGGCAAAAAAAGTTTTTTTTTTTTTTAGTAAAACAATTTTTAAAATTATGCAAAAATCAGTTTAGATGCAAGTTGCATTTAAACTTACAAATATCAGTGCAGCAAAATCTGAAATACGGCAATCTAAAAGATTGAGCTTTTATAGAGGTAGAAGCTTCGGATGGCACGTAGCCATGGTGACAGTGTGTCATTCAAATGCCAGGCTTAGATCATGCCAGGTGATAACGTAGCTGAACACAAAACAAAAAAAAACAAAAAAGATAGCATAGACTTCGGTTTGACAACTGTGGCATTTACACGAAACTGAGCAAACACTTTATCTGCAAACTCTCCAGTGTGTCTGCATGGAGCATCCCTGGCCGTTGTTGATCTAAGATGTGAGCTAGATAAACCCATCAAATCACCGCTGTTCATCACCAACCGTCCGACAACTCTGGAGCACAGAAGAGCTGTTGCGGTAGTTTCTGCAGTATGATGAGCCATGAAGAACGAAAAGAGAAACTACAGGAACACATTCTCACGTTTCAAAGGGATGCCATTTTTTTTTAAGAGAGGGGCAGCAAAACTTCAGCAATTAAATTCTTACAGGGATATAATAAAAAAGAAAACTTCTAAACCCTAAGTAGTTGTAATACAAGTAAAAAAAAAAAAGAAAACAGCCCAAAGCCTGTAAAGCTTTCGTTAGACGACATTCATTTTATGAATGAGCTGCATAATCACGTTTCCACAGAATTCAATACCGAGATAAATGTGCTTTTATTTATACACAAGTAATGTTGCTATGAAGAGCTGTCAAAACAATATGCACTAACATGACTAGATGTGCAAGGCAACAGAAAGGATTTGGTTTCATTTTTGTTTTGGTAAATGACAGCTTTTCCTTAAAGCTGAATTTACACTCCATTTGATGCAGCACATCAGCCGGCACAGAAGCTGTTTACTTGCTCAGATTTGGCTCCAACATGGCCATGGCTGATGTAAATCATTGTCTGGGTGGTGAGGTCAAAATGTCTTCGGAGATTCTGCTCAATACCAGCCTGGGTATTATTCAGAAGTTAATCTCGGGCATTTTACATTTTGCACTGTTATCCAGAGATAGCGACTTCATAAACCTGATCTGTCACCACTCAATAATTCTACCTGGGTAATATGCCGGTTCATTATGTTTTTCAAAATAAAATCTAAAAGGGGGAAAAGTGTCAGAAAAAAAAAATATTGCCTCCAAATCAACTACCACAAAGTCTAGCTGTTGGTTTGGCTCTGAACTCTGGATTCAGTGCTTTCAATGTAAAATGGGCAACGAATTACAGGAGAATTCCTGTTTCCACGATGCTGCAACTAGGCATAAGTCATTTAATTGTTGTAAGGTGAACAGAGGGAGTTTTGTTAAAGTGACAAAACTAAAAAATTATTTTAAAAAAACTTTCAAATTGTTCAAAGTCTTTTCTTTCCCCATGAGATGCCAAATAAGTTGCCAAAGTAACCAGGATTTTTTATTTTTACAGTTGCAAAAAGCTAGGATTAGCATAAAACACCACTCAATACAGCTAAGCACTGCTGGTCAGTAAGCTGAAAGAAAACTGGTACACAAGTTGGCTCTTTGACAATAAGAGAATCACAGAACAGTAAAGAAGACATAAGTGTTATCTCCATAAAGCAATCCTACTAGCTAATATCACTGATATACTTATCTGTAAGTTGCGAAATGGCAAAAAGATTTACCTTTCTGCGCAGCTAACACTTCCAACAACTTATTTGTGATGCATTACAGTTTCTAGAAGTTTATAAACTAATGCTGAAATATGTTAGGTAACATTATGACTAAATTAATGTGCTATTTTCACTCAAGGATAACATGCCGGGTCTCTCATACCAGCCGCTGCCTTATAGTAAACAATATACAAGAAAATATTCCACACTTAATTTGATTTAAATACTAACATTTAGCAAGAAACAGTCCTCTCATGATTTTTGAAGGTGGCAGGCAGAAAGATGTGTGTCTGCTGACCCCTCTCCATGCAAACCCACATATGAGGGGGGCAAAAAAACGTTATGTAAGGTTATGTTTGGCTTAACTTGAGAGTAAAATTTCCATCTTGACACTGAAACATGAATGAGAGGACCCAGCCCACACAAAAAACCACGCCGAATGAGAGATTACAGGGGGCAAGAAAGTTGGAGCTACGTGTCAGTTTCCCATGGCTGGTTTGGACCAGCTCTGAGGGAATGCTCTCTGCTGCCCTAAATGGAAAAATTAAACTTACCAGCGCACCACAAGTCGACGAATATATACTGAAAAAAATTCATATTTAACCGCCTAAACCTGTTTTATTGGAGTTTCTGGGATAAAACTGAGGGACGAAAGCGAAATTAAACCCAATACTCGAGTTAGCTTGTAGGCTAGTTGACAAAATTTGCATGTTGCCAAATAGCAAAAAATTACTTTTGTTGCGGCTGAGCATAAATATCACACCGATATCACAGACAGTACAAACCCCTTTCGTTTAACTTCACAGGTGCTGGACAGTAAATGCTAATTAGCTAACAGTTAGCCATCCTTTAGCTGGGAAACTTGACATCTGTCAACAACTTTTTAACATCTACTCACTCCAGCTTGGTTGTTGAGTACAACAGATTTAACCACTCAAATGACATTTTACAGCAATCATATTTCCAAGTCTGACAACGAAAGTAGTTTCCTCACTTAAATTGAAATATCCAGGCAAACGTGCTAACCTCAGTTTCCTCTACTGGAAATGTAGCAGCAAGCTAGCTAACGTTAGCCGGCTTTCAGCTGCAGTGAAATAAACTGAATGAGCTTGACATCTGCTATTGGAATAATGACAACACTGGAAGTTAACTTAAAATTGCTTTCGTTGAGTCATGTGGCTTACTATATTAAAGTATACGACAACCAGTCGCAGTTTCAATCTCCATTAGCCATCAGTTGACTAAGCTAACTAGCTGTTTCTCCAGTGAGCTCTCATTTTCACATGTTGGGATTCATACCATTTTCACTATCCCTCTTTGCAAAGGAGACGCCGGAACAGGGGCTGTCTGAGTTGGACCCGAAACAGATGCCATGTCCACCGAGCTGAGATACGCTGCTTGTTGGATGGAGAACCAGGTGAGGGAGCTGGGACTCTGAAATGAGTGGCTGATCTGTTGAGAGCCAAGAGAAAAAGGCAGTGCACAGAGCTACACTCACGTTATACCGGAAACACACTTTGCCATGCATGTACACACAGGCCGAAAGCTTTTCCGGGTCTAAGGGAGAGCAATGAATGGGAGCGAATGGAGAGCGCTCTAAACCGCGTAAGCAAATTGAAATAAGGACATCCGGGGCAAGAGCTACGACACGTCAGCATTGTGATACCCCAGATAGTGCTGTCTTCAAAGAGTCCGGGAATAGATTCACTTCCAAAGAAAAAGTTCACTCTTGAAAAGTAGCACATTATATGCATCAGCAATATCTGACAGGAAATCCTATAGGGATGTAATGACGACGACTACTTTATAGCACTTTATGGGGGCTCATATTTGCCGAATTAATAAAAGATTGCCGATATTTGTTTCAGTTTATATAACATTTTATCAGGCAGCAAAAAATATATTTCTTTTATACGTTTTAAAGAATTTGATGACTGAATGCATTATGCTTATGTCCACTAGGTGGCGATCACGAGTTTAAGTCAATGCATAAATGTAAAGAATAGGATGACAGAAGAAGAGATTTGTTGCGCCATACCTGTGAGGAACTTGCGTGAGCAGACTCATGGAAAAACATACTTTAATAAAAGTGTCTCAGCAGTACAAGACGACTGGTTATTATCGAACACAAATATAACAGAGTGATTTAGTAAGAATGATGATGGCCACATATTATTAAGTCCATTTCGATGTATTTGTTCCACTTCACAACAAATGTCATGATATTTTACAAGAGAAATACGTCCATCATAGAAACATGTAATCGAGTCAGTACAATTACATAGACAGATTTAAACTTACTTAGGATGCAAATCAGTTTATTATATACCAATTGTTTAGTGAAGCACAGGTACTGACTTTGTAACAAGCCCAACCCAGAAAGCATATGGTGACAGAGGACAGGAACTTCCAGCAGAACCCAGCTCACTGTGGAGAAGCCACCTGCTTCATCTGGCCGCAGGATTTAAAAGGACAAGGCCTAAACAAAATCAGTAAATAATTAGTTTAGACTGGATGGCAGACAGGTGTTCTCAGACACCATTATCTCCAGTCAGGACAAAGGATGAATAAGGCAATGGTTGATGGCAGCAGCAGCTTCATTACCAGTTTTCTCTAGGATTAAAAACAGCTAAACACATATGTATTGGTATTGTTTATGGAATGGGTTTGGGATGGGGTTAGGATAAACCCTAACCCCATGTGTTCATATGGCTTGTCATAATATCAACAATGTTATAAGGTTCACAATTTTTCAGTGAAATTTGCTCTGTGTATTTCTTTTCCAAATGTGCAATAATCTAGAGTAATTGCAGGCCACACGGCTGACTAAAGGTGATGTTATTATGCTTGTTATGCAGTTGCTTATTAGAAAAAGACATGCAAAAGTTCACTTAAGAATAAAACATGCTAAATAAACCTAAATTAGAACTGATTACTCTTAAATTGCATTTCCACCCCTCCTACCATATGTCTTCGACCTTGCAGTCAAAAGGTTATAATTGATTTAATTGCGAAAGAAAAATCATTTACCGAAAGCAACAGACTTGGTTACACAACTTTTAATTTCAAGAGTACACCTAAACAGATTTAATGGTTTGATTCTGGCATGGAAGTATTTCTTTGTTCAGGTCGGACTAAACAGTAAAACCAGGTACCACCCTTGAGATTCCACTAAATCTTCCTCAATGCAAAAATATGATGTTTTCAAAAGCACTGACTGTAATGCACTAACTGCACCTAGACTGAGTAATATCATGCCCACTGTGTAAATATACACTGTTTTAAGATCCACTGATGACACTTGGCTCTGTTTTCTGAGGGTAATATCTCCTACACATTGTATGGCACATAAACAAGAAAAGTTAAGATTCATGCAGAAAGTTTACGTTCATGCCACTGCATCTCAATCGGATTCAAGTTCACGTTTTAATTCTAAAACCTTTATTTATTTAAATTAAAATTGATTAGGTCGCTTAGAGGTGGACTCACTGGTGTCCTTCAGATCATTTCCCTTATGCATGTATCTGGAAGCCCCACATCACAACATGACCACCACTATGTTTGACAGCCGGTTTGATGTTTTTTTTTTTCTTTCTGAAACGCTTTGTTAGCTTTAATACCAGATGTAATGGGAAGTAAACTTTTTAAAAAAAGAAATTCACGTTAGTCACGAAAAAAAAAAAAAAACTTGGGGACAAGAGACAACAACGGAATTTCTGCATCTCGTTTTGTTAAACATTTTTATTATTATTATTATCAATATTTGATTCAGGATTTTTGCTCAAATTTATGTGTAACAAACTAATGGAAAACCATATTTAAAATAGTTCCATGTTTTTGTTGCCTCCGTTTTGGAACTCGTTTTGAGTCATTACACAGATATTAATCAATTCCGAGAACTGAATGATAATCAGATTTACCGTTTTAAAATATCGATTTTTCTATCGTGCGAGAAAATAACTCGCAGGGATGTAGCGCTGCTATTAAGATTTGGTTGAACTTGTGAACTTGAATGCAACAGACACAGCCACCTCGACCCAGCGTCATTTATTTCCTTATTTTTCTCTTTTGAAGATTACAAGGTTCAAATAGGGAAACGTACTTAAATTTTTTTAATTATAGCCCGCTCCAATTAATTATTTTTAGGATGCAACTTAACGAACGCATTTAGAGCACGACAAAGTCAACTCATCATCCATCCATCCATTTTCTGAACACCCTTGTCCCTCAGTGGGGTCGGGAGGGGTGCTGGTGCCTATCTCCAGCTGACGTTCCGGGCGAGAGGCGGGGTACATCCTGGACAGGTCGCCAGTCTGTCGCAGAGTCAACTCATCAAAAATGTAAAAATGTGTTACCAATCTAAAAAGGAAAAAAAAAATCCTTTGGAAATGTAGGTATGCTACCTGCTGAACGTTGCAAACGGAGACACACGATGCATAAAATGTCTTATTAGCACCGATTCTACACTATTCTACCTGGAGAACAAGGGGACGCGTTTGCCACATATAGTTTGAACTTTTGAAGTGTTCATATATACCATGAAAATAAACTGATTGGGGTGTCATGAAATAGCAATTATGTACTCTTTGGCTTTTCGGTGGTTTTGGAAAGGTGATGGTACATCTGTGCATTTATTAGTGGTGAACGTTTTTAAAAGTCAGCTAAAATTACGCAACGTATACAACAGGAGGGACTGGGAAAAAAAAGGAAACACCAGAATTCTTAGGAATGACTTGGGTTCATAAAACACGGAGAAGGAAACAAAGCCGGCGCGCAGCTCCGTTGCGCACGCAGCCTCTCTGTGCGCTCTGGAGAGATTTTGGTGATCTTTTTACGCGGCTGGAATTTTCACCCTTGCAAACGCTTTAGAACCAAGTTGAGCCCCAACACGCTCACGTGTGCATGTTTAATACACGATGCAAACATCTGAAACATTTGTTTGAAGCGCAAAAGATGGCTGTGCCACTTAAGGCAATAAAACTCCCGCCCGGTGCTGCTGAGGGGAGACAGCAATTTACGCACAATAAAACTGTGTCGGTGCTTTGATAATCGGTTATAAGTAGCATTTTTAGACCTGCATTATTTGGCACGTGGCATGCCTGCAGCAAGGCAGTAACCTGTAAAGTAACAAACACATCCGATCTCCTATAATAAACAAAAAACGGTCCCCTTATTCTTCCTTTGTCCTGGTTGGCATGGAGATGATGGTGTCCAAGAACGCCTGTCCTGCATCCGGTGTTCCTTGACTGTACACACACTGTTGAAGGCCTTTCACTCATGGTTAATGTATAATGTGGGCCATATGGCTTTGTAAAATCGGAGTCTTTATGTCGATGCCACTTCGGTGTGTGTGGACCCAACTAATGATATTCAATTAGTCATTAAACAGGCCCAAAGACGAGCTTTGCGTGGGGTTTTCACATGAGCTAATATTTGCTTGTCAAATATTTCCCCTTGAAAGCGTTTACAACGCATTTTTATCTGCTGTCTGCCCAAGGAACATCTGTGAGGATGTTAGCCTCCCACTTCTGGATAAGCGAGGTCCCCCCAATTGGTCCTCTCGTTGCGCCTGTATGTGCGCGAGGTCTATTTGTTCACGTTTTGAAGGAAAATGTAATAAAACGAGACAACCTGATGGATTTATGATTTATCAAAAGCACTTTACCATATGGCAGTCATCATTGGAGCAGATTTCCAAATGTTTGCTTTATGAGAGGAGGCCAGAGATCCTTTTAATCCGAGGCACTTCAGCTGCGAACGAGGATGCTCGTGTCACGTGACTGGAAGCCCAGAAACACACTGGAGCTCGATTCATTCGGTTCCTGGAAAGCAGGGTTCAATATCTTGCCAAATATGAAGCTGGAACAAACATGAGAGTTTGAAAGCTCAAACTGAGCGCGCCTCAATCTCTCTAATTAAGACTACCAGCCACTGCGCAAAAAGGAGCTGATGGGAACACGGGAGGGAAGGCAAAATGCAATTAGGGAATATCAGAAAAATTTGCTGCACTGTCATGAAGTAGATTTTTTTTTTATCCCATCCCTTAAATATGAGGAGTGCTATGTAAAGATATTACAAGTACCTTATAATGATCAACTTCAATTAATATTAATGGGATTTTAGGTGACAAACCAAGAAAGTAGTGCAAGGAGAAGGGTGCATGGATTTTTTTTTTTTTTTTTTAGAAATGTTTGACTAAAAACTTGAGAGTGTGGTACATCATTATTCAGTCCATTTATTTAGGCATCCCTTAATAAAATCCATTGCAACTTATTTCCTTGAGACTGAGGAAATAAGCTTACATTGTAAATAGAGTCTAATTGTATTTTTAAAAAATCTGTCTTAAGGGCTCAGAATTTGTTACAGACGCAGAACAAAAAGCTTCATGAATAACATGGCTCAAACAGGACGGTTTGTTTAAATCATGAAACTAAATTTCATGAAGCACTGTTGAATTAATCACGATAATAGAAAGCATATGCAGACAAGCTGTGACAATCCAAATAAAACTGCAAAATCACAGCAGATAGGATGATTTATAATCACGTTATTGTAATATAAAAATATAAAATGAAATAAAATGCACGGTCTTCAGATAACTTTCATTTAATTTGAACATTGAACATACAACCACAAGCTGAAATTTACTCCAATTGGGTATACTACAACCCAACACAAAGGAGTGCGCATTTTTTGAAGTAGATGGACAGCAATAAAAGATTTCAAATATGTTTTTCTTTAAAAGAAAAAGGGAAAGTTGTGCGCATTTCTATTCAGGCCCCTTGTTCTGATACCCTTTAATAAAATCTAATGCAACCACTTACCATCAGAAATTAGTAAGCGAACAAATGGCCACACAAGACACCCTGCAGTTTAAACCCAGTTTTACCCTCATGCGCCCTCCCAGCTTTATTGACGTTGCAGGAAGTACGCAGGGCACCACGTTATATTCAGCTCTTGTAGGCTTATAAATCTCCGCCGAGGGCTTTGACTCCGCACACTGTCAATCTTAAGAGGCGTTTAGAGTTTAAGGCTTCGAGCTTCATTCTGAATTCGGTCCTGCACAGAAAAGTTAGGAGCCAAGCGAGGATGTGCGGAACAAGCATTAGTTTGCAAAGCCAAGGTTAGTTTTGCACTTCTTTTTTTTTTTTCAAACTTTGGCACGTTTTAAGCGGAGTTATAAAATTGAAGATGTGTTATGACAAGGTGGTGGAAGTGTCAACCAGTTAGGAGGAACCTTTCTCAACGGCAGACCTCTACCAGAGTCCAAGAGAATGAAGATGATTGAGCTGGCCTCGGAGGGAGTCCGCCCAAGTGAAATCTCCAGAATTCTCCGGGTGCGCACAATCCAAACAGCTCAGATAGAATACGTTAAAAGAAGGGGGGGGGGGGGGGGGAATTTCCACGGGGACCGGATTGATCAAATGAAGTCGATCTGTAATGGATTGCGCCTAACTCAGTGCGTCTTTGCAGGTATCCAACGGGTGCGTCAGCAAGATACTGTGCCGCTACAGGCGCACAGGGCTGGTGAAGCCCAAATCCATAGGAGGCAGCCGCCCTCGGCTTCTCACCCCCGACGTCATCTCCACCATCATCCAGTGCAAGAGGGAAACGCCAACTATTTTTGCTTGGGAAATACGAAAACGACTTGCAAGAATTTGTAAAGCCGCAAAAACTCCTAGTGTAAGTGGAATAAAGGACGCTTTTGAATGTGCTCTTTTATCTGCGGTTGATAAAGCTTTTTTTTGCGCGCTGTTTCCCGCAAGGTGTCATCCATAAATAGGATTCTGCGAAAAATCCACCTCGATCATGGAATAATGTGCATGGAGGTCAACGCTCCCATCAGAGCTGAGCAGGGTACGTTATCAAAAGATTTTACTTGAACAATGTTGTTCACCAATTACTAAGAGTTTCACACTGATCTTTAGTTTTTAAATATACCAAGTCATGTTGTAGTAAATCCTTGCAGTTAACGGATTAAATATCATGTGAATAGGCTTATTTGGAATGTCACAATCCACACATCTTCCATAATGTGCATTTAAAGAGGGTTTCCCTCAGAGGTCTGTTGTTGGACCTCTAGATTTCCCTCTGTAAATACGCCCTCTGCATGGGTTTAGTTTTAAAGTACAGCATCACATTTCATTTATTTATTTACACAATAAATAAAAAAAAAACTGGTGAAATGTGACTCTAGGAAGTCTTAAAATGCTTTTAGAGTATTTTGAAGGTTTTATGATGTGAAGGGCTCTAAGCTTAACTTAAATGAAAGCAAAAGAGAAGACTTATGTTTTGGAAGCTTCAAGATTTTTGCTTGTTTGAAGGATTTGTGGTATGTACACTTTTTTTTTAAGTGACCTCACACCACCTCAGTGAAATCAAGAGCTGGGCTTTGACTGTAGTCCAGGGCTTTACTTTTTTTTCTTTACCAGTTCTTAATGGATTCACTGACATATTTCAAGGTCCAGTTACTTTGTACACATTTTCATTTTCTTTTTCTTCCCACAAGTAACCTCTGATAAAAGGTTAGAATTCATATTTGATTCAAGGGACACATTTAAAAGGAGTCTGGTCCTTGAGTACATCAGTTTGGTGTAGGACTCGCTCGCTAATGTTTTCAGAGCGAAGGTTTACATTATGTACCCTTTTCGGAAAAAGCCATGTTCAAACTAAGGGTGTAATTTTAGTAGCCAATACATAATTTCAAAAATTATTTTTATGGCGTATGTAAATGAATCAAACTGAAGTGCTGACTAATGCACTTTTTGCAGATCGTTACTCTGTGGTCGAACAAGTAAACAAGCAAGTGATGAACTCTAATGACCAGAGACCTGAAGGTACCCGGCACAAGAACCGCACCTCTTTCACCCCGGAGCAGAGCAGAGCACTCGAGCAAGGTAATCATCCAGTTCATCATCCTGTGACACGCCGGCGTGTTTACGCTCAGGAAAAATACACGTTCATCTCTCCCGAACCAGAATTTTCCCAGAGCCAGTACTCCGATCTGTATACAAGAGAGAAACTGTCAGCTGAAATTAAACTTCCCGAGGACACCATTAAGGTACACTTTTAATCACCGTAGTAGTGTGTATACACAAACACATTCATCATGACACGTGATGGCTCATTTCCTTCTTGTAGGTATGGTTTTCAAACAGACGAGCTAAATGGAGGAGGGAAACCAAACACAAAAGTAGAACAAAAAGTAAGGATGTTGGGGCAAAAATACAACACAACTGTGTATTTGGAAGAAACTGCAAGGCAGGGTGTAGTTTGCAAATAATTGTGCAAGTGTCACATAAATAGCTACAAGAAAAAACAAAACAAAAAGAAAATGCATTCATAATTTTTTAGAAAACAAATCTCTCCCCTACAGCTTCAGACCTGCAGCAGCAAAGAGACTGCCTTCTTTTAAATCAAGCCCTCACACACAGCTTTACGTCGCAGGTAGGTTGTGGTTTGCTTTGCAGATCAAGCTCTTACAGCTCATTTAGTCTTTGCTGTAGAACTTAAAACTTAAACTTCAGTTCTGTCGTTTTAATCTCTGCTTCAATCGGTGGTGAGGACAAACCAAGTTACATGAAGTTTTTCTAGCGTGAAACACATTCAAATGTCAGATTTGATGACTGATAAGTCATGTCAAAGCCTTTCCCCCCCCCCCCCAACACTGTGATATATATCCCAACATTTGAAATACAAAATACACTGGTTTGGCTTAAAGTAGGGATTTTTTTTTTTTTTTAGGAGAAATTTCTATATGTTTTGAGCGTGTCAAACTGACGGCCCTGCAGGTAATTCTAGCCAACCATAAGTTTTGATGAGGCCCTCTAGACTCTAGGGACACATAAATAGAAACCTAAAGCTAACAGTTGTGTCCTTATATTTTACTTTATCAATCAAATCAGAGCAGTTCTAATCTGTGTTCTGCCCAATGTGAAAAGATGTTCAATATTATTTAATTTTAAGAAGTTTATCAAATGCAGAAACAGCTATTAATATCAATATTTTAAACGGCTTAATGCGTTTCATCAATGCATTCTGACATAATTGGCCCATTGAGAACATTCCTGATCTTCATATGGCCCAAAAATTAATACTATGCAATATTATTGCAATAGATGAGTTGAACTACTGCATAAATGCTTAGACTTCATTGTATAAAGGTATCAGTCAGGAGAAGGGTACATGGGCAGGATTTTCATCGGAATATATGTGGAAAGGATTTGGAAGTGATTAATCACTGTCCCACTTTTTACATCCAGTATGCCTTAATTTTAACTTGGGGAGATGTACACGTTTTTAAAAGCGGTCATTGTTGATTGTAGGAAACGGACGCATTAAGAATGAACTGTCGAAACACCACTTTCCTACCCACAGTCCCCAGGAAGCTACCCAGTGGCTTCTTCTCTCAAACAGCAGCTGGTAAGATGTTTTATCAGAGTTGAGTTTCAATCTGCTAAACAACCTAACCACTTTTATGCTCAAATTATTAGAACACAAAGTTTCACTAATTCTATTTATGGGTGGAATAGTGAAGACTGCAATGAATAAGTAGTACTGCAATGATCACCAAAAGCACAATTTAGTGCTCAATTTGGACAAATTTCCTGTAATACTGGGTTTCAGCTACTTGGACTCCACTTCTGCAATCCGTTTATTGCAAACACCTGAACAGTTTTACAAATTTTCCAATAAAACTAATTTGCAGGAAGTGTCGACTCGTTGGGGGTACAACTTTGATTTCTCTGCCAGCCACACATATTTTTGCTTGCCAAAGTTTATTTTATGACTTTATTACATTTGTTTCTGTTGTGTACTTCATAATATTGCCACCCTTAAATAACTGAACATTGATAATATATTTGGAGAGAGAAGGAGAAACGGTTATTAATGGCGTAGGTAGAGACTATTGTATCTAGGCTCTAAATGCAGATGTTCAGATGCGTACGAAAGTCACTTAAATACCTTTAATCTTCACTTTGGTCAATTTCCTGGTGAAGTTGCTTGATCCCTCCTAGTTTGTTATGCTTAGAAAGTTTGGCGTACAGGTGCACAGGTGTATTAACATGTGTTCTCCCTCAGTTCCTCAGCAGCTGTGTGACACGTTGCCACAGGCCGTCAACGGGACTCCACGGCATTGCAACAGAGATGCAGTCACGTTCCCACTGACTCAAGACAACATGTACCCAAAGAACACTTTCCAGCTGGCCTCTGAGGACACCATAACCCACTTCCATGTCTGCCAGCAGTGGAACAAGCAGAGCACACCGTTTGTGTGGCACCAGTTTCAAACAAATGGGAACTTCCTGTCTAACCAGGATGCGGATCGACCGGGCGGCATGGTGTAAAAGTGAGAATGGATTTCTACCTATGCGTGTAGAGTTAAAAATGTAATTCTACTACATTTGAGTAAATTACCTTCTAGACTGCAGAGGATTCCTGGCCAGTAGATGGAGACAAAAGACTGGGATTGCAACAAGTCCTTCACGCTTCACTTCTGTAAAATGGATATCAATTCAGTACTGCAGAAAAGATTTGTTTCATTGATACAAGGAAATTGATTCAGTAAAATATTATATTGAAAGGATCCGTCACATTTCACCTCGTAAAACAAAGAAAGAAGTCAATCCAGGATGTACTAAATAAAGTTGGAAAGTTGAACTGTTTTCTTTCTTTCACTGGAATGTTTTACTGATGCAAGAACAAGTTCTTAAATACTGGGCTCTAAGCTCTGATGTAACCAATAAACGCAGGCCTCGCTTCACAGGGAGTAGCTTTTTAAAGGGTACATCAAGTGCTAACAGAGAAAATTAAAAGATAAATTAGAAAATGTTGCATGACCTCAATCCGAAGCGCTTTCATGTTTCTTGTCAGCGATTTGTTTGGCCTGATGACTTGTCAACATAAATCAGAGCTCCACGGATCATTTGCAATCACCATAAAGTGATATGGCTGCTATCGCTTTAACAGCCTGTCGGCTTTGCTGTTTTGCAAAAGTGCAGAAGGAGGTGAAGGCAGCCTTCCAAGATTTTCTAGGGAAAGCCAGTGGGAGAAACTTTAAAAGAGAAGCTTCAAAAACTCTGAACATGACCTGATATCTGCAAGGCTTCGCATCAGTTTTTATTACTGTAACAGGGCAAAAGCATCGAGTTACTTGAAGTCCCTTTACAACAGCAAAGAGACACTACTCTGAGATTCCTGATAATTAGCCATGAGTGGAAGGCCCGGGATCAGAACGCAAACAGCTTGGTCAGCAGTGTGGAAATGGCCTACTGACAAATGACCCTCATTGGAATAACACCATGAAGGTGGAGAAGTAAATGATATCTCCACATGACGGCGTCTTAAGCAGTGATTTGTACAATTGCTTCTGTGCTGATGCGTTTCGTACAATGAGCTTCATTTTCACACGGTCAGAGGTGATGAGCAACCGCATTGCAAACCTAACACCGACACACACATCATTTTCAATGCGACTTTGAGTAAAATCAAAACCAGAGACTTACGGCTTGAATTCCATACAGTCCAATTTAAACCAAATCAAGTAAAAAAAAAAAACCAAAAGCAATGGAGCATTAGTCCTTCCAATGGCAAAGAAAAACAAACTGCAGAGACAAAGAAAGTAACACTTGCATCTATAACTGGATACCAGATAGAGAGGCAAGTGCTGAGCCCTGAGTATCTTATATAGAAAGACAAAGAGAAGACAATTATTTGCAGCAAAAACTCTGTCAATGGGTATGTTGAGGGAAAACACAGTACTCAAGACATAAGGACTAAGCCAGGAGTGCTTTTCCTTGAACTGTGCAAGGAGTATGCACTTTTGATTTCCAGAGGCAACAAAATCCAAGAGTAGAGGTTCTTAATGGCAGCAATAACTCAGTTAATGTCTATGGAGAGGTGGAAAGATACATAAGTAGGGTATATGGAGAATACTTACAAATATACACAGATGCATCAAAAATGGTAAATGATAGAGTAGGGATAGCATTTATAATTCCAGATTTAAACATTATGGAAAATAAAAGACTAACGGATAGTTTGAATGTATACACAGGAGAGTTACTGGCTATTTCAATGGCGTTAAAATGGAGTGAAGAATTAAGCGAAAAGAAAGTGTTAATTTGTTCTGATTCAAGTAGTGCATTAATAAGTATTATGGAACAAGAGTCGGAAGCAAGACAAGACATTCTGATAGATATAAATAAATCAATACATAAAATGGGAAAAAATGGATCTACTGTTAAATTTATTTGGATTCCGGCTCATACCGGAATAGTTGGAAATGAATTAGCAGATACATTTGCAAAGAGTGCGAGTAAGAGAAATGA